GGAATGGTAATGAGTAATGCTTGTGTTATTAGGCATGTTCTTTTTAGCTGAACTTTTGTACAGATTCATCTTTCTTCCTTTTCTCTTCAGGAGGAAAGAAAAGGAAGAAAGACGAACCGGTGCAAAAGTTCAGCTAAAAAGAAGGCCTAATACCACCGTGATTCGTTTGTATTTTCGCAAAGTTTAACGGTTTGTGATCTATTTACAGGTCTTATGATAAGTGGTCTTGCGCGTGCTGGAATAGCTATAAAAAACAAGGCGTATATTGAAGCAGCAACAGAAGCTGTCACATTCGTGGAAAAATATCTGTTTAATAAAGATAAACGCATATTACTTCGCAGTTGTTACCGCAGGAGAGACGACAAAATTGTACAGAGGTAAGTATTGTTTTGAACTTTTTCAAGACAATATGCGATCTATGCTGATGATTCATAGGAGTGACCCGATACCTGGCTTCCATGAGGATTATGCGTTCTTTGTGAAAGGATTGCTTGACTTGTACGAGGCTACCTTTGATCCGCATTGGGTCGAGTTTGCCGAAGAGCTGCAGGATATTCAAGACCGATTGTTCTGGGATTCGGAAGATGGTGGTTACTTTGCTATGGCTGAAGAGTCTCCGATACTTACACGGACGAAGGATTGTATGTTTGAATGCTCTTCTAGTAATTTTAGTTTTGTAATTTCAGTTTTAAATGTCAAGGTTTGACACAACAATTACATCAACTGAATAAAATCAAACAAAACCTGATTTTGCGCTGTAAAGATTATATTACATTCAAATATTTATAACGCTATTGAATATCTATTGAATATCTCATTACATTTGTGTGTCTGTTGATTATTTTATTACATTTTCAGTCATGGTATCGACATGTAAATTTTTTCACTTTATGAACATCTGTCTTTTGTTGCAGCTGACGATGGCTCGCAACCATCCGGTAATTCAATTGCATGTTCAAATCTGTTGCGCCTAGCAATTTACTTGGATCGCGACGATCTCAGACATAAAGCTGAAAAACTTCTGTGTGCGTTCGGCAATAAACTTGCGAATTGTCCGGCTGCATGTCCACAAATGATGTTAGCGCTGATCGAGTTTCACCATCCAATGCAGGTGTGTGCTTCTGTTTATCTGCTGCTATCACATTAGCTCTTTCGTGAGATTGTAAGTGTTCTTAACACATTTCTAAAACGAGTTTTTCTTTCCAGATTTATGTAGCAGGCAAAGCAGATGCTAAGGAGACGATTGAAATGCTGGAAATAATCCGTTCGCGTTTGATACCTGGTAGGGTGCTCATATTAGCTGATTCTGAGGACAACGTGTTATTCCGTAGAAACATGATTGTTAAAAGAATGAAGCCGCAGAAAAACCGGGCGACGGTTTTCATATGCCGTGATTATTCATGCACTCTACCCATTTCAAATCCTAACGTTTTGATTTCTGAGTTAGATAAAAAGGTATTTACCGATTTGTAAATGGCAAGGCTGTGCGTCGATCATGTGGCGAAAACAACGAAATGGGGAAGATCGCCGAAAATTAAATACCATAATGTTAAACGGTACAATATTAGCTCGCGTAGTTTAACGTATTAAGTCGCTAGTACGACTGAGTAAGCACAAATAAATCAGCAATAATGTCGCAATTGATAAACAAATGTATAGGTATGTATTCATAAAGAAAATTAAGAAAAAAATAGTTTTAGTAGTCTCTAAAAAGATCAAAAATATGTTCCGAAATGGATCGAAATCACGTAAATTATATGTATGTACTTCAGTACGATTTTAATGTGTAAATTCTATTAATATTCTAGTATTCTGTTAATTTACATAGAAGGCAATGATAAACCAGTTACACTATTCATGTGATGAAATCTTTTTTTATTAAAACCCTAATTTCAGTGTATATGTATATACATGTATAGTTTAAGAATTATTATACATATGTATATGTGTATATATGTATATATATGTATATACTTTTTTTTTCCAAATTAAATAGGTATCTACACGAGCGAAAAGAAGTGATATTAATTATCAATTACTTTGTAATATTTTTTCCTAAATTACAGGAATTACCATATCATTTTAAAAGCAATGTTTCTTACTGTTGTAACAAACTTCTGTATCTTTGATTTTATTTTTTAACTTACTTAAGTAATCTATTGCTATACAATATACATTTGTATCAGGCGTATATTATAATTTAGTATATAAAATAATCAGAGATCACTAACATTTTTAACAATTAAATAAAAAGTGAAATTCAATTTTCCTGAAGATTTACAACTTCACCTGAAACAGCAAATTTTAGTTACAGATATTTATTATTGAAATATTTAAACAAACAATCGATCTTTTTTATATAAAAAAATTATAAACTTTCATATCACTAATAAATAACCAAATATAAAAATTAAAAAAGTATATTTTTTTGCAAATCATAAGATCATACTTTATCAGGTTTATCAGTTTGATTGTCTTTTGAAATTGTTCGAGTTTTGTTTGAACTTGGTCAACAATTTTCCGCTATCCAAGTTAATATCAGTTGAAATTATTTGAATACATTGCTTACTTATTGCTTTAAAAATTGCAATAATATATATAATAAAAATTATCCGCGCTCGTTTATCATCTGTCGAAAATACAGGGACCCGTATTCAGAACGCGCTTTTATTTCTGAAATTCTATAATATGTGTGACGTAAAGTATAGTATGTTAGCGCGCTACATCGTTGTAAGCGCGTTCTGAATACGGGCCAGAGTCTAGTATTTACAAACGTCAACAAAAATGGCGCTGGTCTATACGAGGTATGTCATAAAATTTGTTTTTTATTGAAATCTGTTGTTTGTTAGATTAAAATGCAAATGTTTGGTTTTTTTTTTTAGACTTCTTTGTCAACGTAATGTCAATTTTCGACATTTTCGAAGCATATACACATGTTGGTAAGTCCTTACGTAATATATAACCTTTTATTTACATAACTGTCATATACCTAGATAGACATGCTAAGCATAACATGCTGCATTAATTGTTCTATTAATTGTAATTCTGTTACTGATAAAATAAGTCGCATATTGTTCCAATTCTTATATTCCTGTTTCTTGCTGTTTGTCTCTTGCCTTTTGGTCAAAAAGGCAAGAGACAAACAGCAAGAAACATGAAATAAAGAACACATTGTAGAATAGGCTTTACAGCATCGAATATGCTGGCAATATGTCATATGAGAATGTATCTTTGAGTATTTATACCATTTTCAATATTTAAATTTCATCACTATACATTCTGTCAAAATTTGTCTATCTGGGAATACAGAGGACATTAATTTTTCTAATTTTCTATGAAAATAGTCATGATTATATACAGTCACGTCAAATACAGTTTTAATAAGAATATTTATGCCTGTCACCTGGGTGTATCCTGTATTTTATTTTTGATTAATTGCATCTTGTAATAAAGATATAATAAAATGTTTTAGCCCCCTCAGCTCCACGGTTTCGAAACCGTTACTTTCAAGCGCAACATATGAATCCCACGATGAGAAGAACATGCGTTTGAAGAGACCATTGTCACCGCACTTGACCATCTATCAAGTTCAATTAACAGCGTTGCTCTCAGTAACACATCGCACCACTGGTATTATGCTCGCCAGTTATGCAATGTTCCTTGGCTTAGGTAAGACGTGATCTAATTTATATATCCAGTTTAGTTTATCTAATGTATGTAATATAAACATGTCCAAATTGGACACTTCTGTCTTATGTTTCAGGCACATTGCTTATACCAGGTGGTATTCCATGTTTTATAGAAACAGTGGATAATTTATGTTTACCTTTGCCTGTATTGTTCGCTGGCAAGACCTTGCTTGCTTTGCCTGCTACTTATCATACGTTCAATGGAATCCGTCATTTGGTATGGAATTATTATGTAATTGTATTATCAATTTAATTTTATTTAAAACAAATAGGAATATTAGCAATGCAATTGACAATTATTACATCCAACTTGCATTTTGTTATTGCTCAGAAGGAATTGACGCAATAATCTAATTAATATTATTTACATTTAATGTTATATCAATAAATTGTCATGAGTGTTCATATAAATTTGCAGGCTTGGGATTTAGGAATGTTTCTAACGATTAAGGAAGTATATAGTACTGGATATATGGTATCTGCACTGGCAATAGTCTCTGCACTTGCACTTGCGGCGATGTAAGTGTCGTGTTTACATTTATCAAAAAACAATTGAAAATTTATTGTATTATCAGATTATATTATAACTGTATTATATTGAATTAATGTTTCAATTACAGAATAAAATAATTTATTAAAACTAATATGTATTATTTTTCCACTTAATTTAGAATCGAATTGGTATTTAGTAAAGATTAATTATGTAAAAATTTATTTTTGTAAAAAGGTAATATTTTAGCCTTAAACACAACGAAAAATGATAAAATAAAAAATTTAAAAACAACTTTCGCACGATTATAAATTACAAAAAGCATTATTTAATATGATAGAGAACGCCAATAATCGGTCAAAATTAGATGTTATGAACACAATATATATTTTTAATTTTAAATTTAATTATCTCAGATGTGACTGTACACCGAAACGTTTGGACATTAACCACAATCGATCTGAGACGCTAATGATAAGGTGCCGAAACATTCTGACATTCCTATATATGAAATAATTCTCCCTAAATTAATTCAGTAAAGAACTTATTGCGAAAAACCGATTATTGACATTCTCTCTATCATATGTATATCATTTACACGGTCGTATTTATTCTTAAAGCATTATTTAAACTTGTGTTCGAAATTATAGAAGTGATTATATAAAATCTGGCTTTTATTTCTTGTTTAAACATTTACATTATTTAAATAAAAATCTTACTCTATCATAACGATGGTTTTATCAAAGATATAAAAATCTACTTTTAAAATTTATTTGTATTTTACAAATAGATTTTAGAAGTACAGACAGTAAGAGATAGTTTTATGTAAAATTATCCAAGGATAATTCAATGTATTTTTTGTAAATTGTCATAAATCGCGCAGCAAAAGCTTCCAAATGAAATATAAATTTCGAACCACGTACCATTTTATGCTGATACTCCGATGCGACCTCAATAATTTCTTTTTTTAACTGATCATCACAATTTTTTATGCATTCTTGCAACAACCCTCTAAAAATCAGTTCGCACGGTATAGAACGCGTTAACAGGTCATAAAATCTGTTGCGTATCTCAAGAAGTACTTTAGGAGATTGTTCAGAGACCATCATACTAGCTGTATTTCGTATGTATACTTGCCAATCTGGTTCTGTTACCTTTTGATCAACAGTAAATGGATATCTGAAAAACAAACAAAAAAAGAATTTTTAAAACTACCAAGGAAGTAGTAAAATCTTGGTAATTTAAAATTCAATACGCTTTTTATGTATAGCTCCATATACATGTTTATATACATCAGTACTTACTGTTCAACTTTGCAAGCCTCGAGCATTAATATTGCTCGTCGAAGATTTCTATTGCTAGCTTCAACTATCCGATTGGCTAATTCATCAGGTACAGTAAGTCCCTCCCGTTTACAAATCGAGTGTAAAATATTTTTTATCTCGGGGGCAGTTGGTGCAGGGACTCTGATTCTCACGCATCGCGATTGAATCGCAGGCAAAACTCGCGACGTTGAATTCGCACAAAGTATCAGTCTGCACGTACTGATGTATTTCTCCATTGTTCTGCGAAGTGCGTGCTGCGCATCTCTTGTAAGTTGATCCACATTTGACAATAGTACCACTATTATTATGTCACAATCGAATTTTTAATCTTTATAATAATTTATACTTTTATTACACAAAAAGATATCTATATTAGAATGAAAAATGTTCTAATTTTCTTAAATACCTTTAAACTCTCTCTGGCCTATATCTATATGATGCGTTTGAGCAGTTGCTTTTATTAATTCCATAACAACAATTCTATCATATATTCCTGCGTCACTCGGATTTATTTCTGTGTGATAATTACTGCTTATTGTCAATATTTCTATCTTTTTTTTAGACGGAGTCTGAAAGCATTATATATAATAGCAAAAAGTATCAAAGATAGTATATTTTAATTAACTTATATTTTTCTATATGATCTGTAAAATGCAAATTATCACAAATATGCTAAAATTAGCTATTGTAATATAGCAACAGTATAAAAGCTTTAAACGATAGTTTAATATATTGAAATAAAATAAAAATGAATTACCTCAAATTGCATGTTTTCTATTTTTAATCTTTCAGCCGCAACTCCGTAAAGTTCCTTTAAAACACATAATATTCGAGTTTTCTTTCCTGCACCTGGAGGTCCATGTACTAACAAATGTGGGAAGTCTCGTTTGTTTACCTATTTTTTAAAAATAGGAATAAAGTAAAAATAATTCAGATCTTTCTTATATCAGTTAACTCGATATAATTCTGTAACGCATTCCACAAGGTTTTTAAAAAAATTTTAATTTATTTTAAAATAAAGAATATAATTTTTATAACATAAAAATTAGTGTATATTGTAAAAAAATTTTACAAATACAATTTCAATCTCCATTACCCCATAATCTATATTATTATAACTTTTTTATTAAAATAAATTCATAAAGCTACTTTAATTTTCCAGTTTTATTTATAATGACTTAAGAGATACATATGTTCAAAAAATCATGCCCATTGATTATTATATTTTATTTTAAATCAAAATTTAACATGTGTTATTGTGTCTTCAGAAGGCGCGCTTTTAAAGCCGGTTAACCTCTCATTCTTTAGATAATTTTCATTGCTTCATATTATAATATTATAATATTTTACCATATTTTTCAAATTCTCTGCTTGCTCGAGATGATAATCTAATTTCGCAAGTGTCGTTGGACGATATTTATCAACCCACAAACTCATTTTTTATCGTAGATTAAGCAGCCTTACTACAAATATTGAACGTTACAAAACTATTAGAAAACATGAGGTCTGTTCTTTTTGACTGAACTTTTGTACCAGGTCATCTTTCTTCCTCTTCTTTCCTCATGGAGAGAAAAGGGAAAAAGATGAACTGATGCACAAAAGTTCAGCCAAAAAGAACAGATCTATGATGATCTAAGGCCGGAATCAGACTATGCATTGAAGATTGAGATTGAAGATTGAAGATTAAAATTTGACCAGTGAGGACAAAGGAATTTTAGCTCCTATTGTTTTGATTGGTCAAATTTCAATCTTTCAATCTTCAATCTCAATATTCAATGCGTAGTCTGATTCCGGCCTAAGGTTTGTTCGCTTCGTGAGCTCTAACGTGCTCCAACATGCTCCTACCATAGCTCTTACTCACTCCAATGAGCTTGATAGAATGAGTAGGAGCTATGGTAAGAGCATGTTGGAGCATGTTGGAGCTTGCGACGCGAACAAACCTAATATTATACTTCCATCTAGGCTGCGGACCACTTGACGCTACAAACGCTTCGAAACGTTTGAGCGATCAATCAGAACAAAGAATTTTACGAATTGACTAATCAAAGAATGCTTCGAAACGTTTGTAGCGTCAAGTGGACCGCAGCCTATGACGTGATCTGGTCGTATTGCCTCCGTTTTCTCCATGGGAGACAGGACTACAGGAGCCAATGGCTACGTTTACACCGTACGCTTAGTCCGCGACCTATAGGATAGGTGTCTTTGTTTAATATACAGGATAAACAAGGACGTCTATTGTATAGGCCGCGGCCTAAATGCACGGTGTAAACGTAGCCATTGATGAGATTTAGTTTTTAGATATAATCAGAGCTTCAGAAATCTAGGTTGGCCTCACATGATTTGCTAACGCAACCATAAATTGGCTACTGCGACCAATTAAAAATACTATGCCATATTTTACCATCTAATTTGTTGCAGCAGTCAATCTTTTCTTTCAGTGTAGTAACTTTAATCATCGGTATACAAACTTACCTTTTTTTTTAAAAAAAGATATTTTATATGGTGAAAAAGCTGCGCAACGACACCGATAACTTTCTGTAATATTTCATCAATCTTTCAACAAGGTTTCATGTGCAAGAATCGCGGACGTTTTTTGCTATTTCAGAACTGTCTCAAAAATGTTGCAGCATATTTAGCAAATTTTTATGAAATATTTCATTTTTTAGTTGAAATATTTCTGAGATATTTCTGAAAACTTTCGATGCGCTGTATGGATACTTATTTTTTTAATAAGAAAACGTGCAAAATATAACAATTTATTACTTAAATTAAAAAATCTTTCGACATTTACATATAACAATCATATGTGTAAATTGCTTCGTAGATCATAAAAGGAACATACATATGTATCGCTATTCAAGGATATATATGCCTAAGCAAAGAATAGATTTCTCTTTAGTTCTCTTCTCGCATCTTCCTTTCCACTTTATACTTTGATCTAACGAAGTAATAAGATATAAAGTGTTTAATATAAAAGATATAAAAATATAAATTTAACGAAGGAAATTTTTATTTCATTGTTTTTTTGCTTGTAATTTATCAAATTTTATTCCTGACATAATGGAATCATTACTTGTCATTCTTAACGTTTGTTAAAACTTTAGAACGTTTTATTATAATGGATCAACCCGAATGGATATGGGCAGCCGTTAGCGAGGAGGAAAGTCAATCGATGATGGCAATGTGGCCGAACATTGTTCGTGATATCACGAAAGAGATTGAGAATTCTAACTTTCCAGATGTTGCTAAATGGATGGAAAAAGTAGATTATCATTGATTAAAATATTATATAAATATATTATGGTCAAACAAAAAATATTATAAATATTATAGCCAATGCGGGATGTGTGTGTGTGTGTTACATGTGTATGAGATACGTTAAAATTCGTTCAATGGATTAATCGATTCATCTAAGGATAAATTACTTTAGGATAATTATATGTAGAAGTAATGCAAACTAATGCAATAATTTTATAATCGTAAATATAAAATTTTAATAAAAATTCTCTCTCTCTCTCTCTCTCTTTCCTTGTCTCGAATAGTACAAATTTGTAAAAATAAATCATCATCAAAATTTAATAATAAACGTATCAATTAAACTTAAAGAAAAGTGTCTAAATAAATAGAACTAGTTTTAGGGTTTGTAGAAAACAAAAAAAAAGCCTTGAGTGTTTTCAATAGTTCGAACAACCTATAAGTTTTGATACATGAAATAATAAGCCATGGATTTAAAAAATATATAGATTGATGTTTCTTTATGCAGGTATTACAGCATACTGTTCCAGGAGGAAAAAAAATTCGTGCTTTTACGTTAATTTATGCCTACAAATTATTAGCATCAAGCGATCAACTTACAAAAGAAAATATTCGTCTTGCACGAATTCTGGCATGGTGTCTGGAAATGGTAATTCTGTTCTTTTTTTTGTGACTCGATATGTTTCATTCGAGTTTTAATTCGAAAAATATTAAATGTTGCGATTACAATTTATAATATTAAGACATTTATTGCTACACAGTTGCAAGCCTTTTTTCTCGTGATCGACGATATACAGGACCAATCCTTACTTCGCCGAGGCAAACTATGTTGGTATCGACATAATGATATAGGCCTAGCGGCAATTAATGATGGTTTATTGTTGGAGTGTGCTATGTTTTATCTAATTAAAAAACACTTCAAAGGGAAAGATTATTACATTGATCTATTAGAAACATTCTACGACGTGAGTAAAGATATATGTTCTTGCCAATCGCACATTATGTAAACTACTTATTTCCTTTTTGATCGAACAATTATATATGAAAGTATTTCAACAGATCATATTCAAAACAACTATAGGCCAAGGTTTAGACATGCTTTCTACCAAGAAACCTGATCTGGATATGTTCACGATGAATCGATATAATTCCATTGTCAAGTACAAAGGATCACGCTATTCTTTCATTTTGCCAATAACCGCAGCAATGCAGTTAGTAAGTGCATCTCAATTTTCTTATACACAAAAAGATTGATTTGCTTTGATGATAATACTGCATTGCGTTACTTGTAGGCTGGAATAAAAGATCCAGAGATGTTCAGGCAAGCAAAAACCATTTTATTGGAAATGGGGCATTTATTCCAAGTCTAACAAGGGAAGTGGCCAAAGTGATAATCGCGAATTGATACAAAATATATATCGAGATTATTTAGGTTGCTATGGGAAGTCCGATGTCCATGGCAAGGATTGTACTGATATACAAGAGGGAAAATGTACATGGCTGATTGTTGTAGCTCTTCAACGTGCCACTCCGGATCAGCGTAAAATTTTAGAAGTGAGTATCGTTGATTTAAATGTGCATTATTTCGTGAAATGCTCTTATGTTAATTCTTTTTTTTTCTCCTTTCTTATTACGCAGGAATGTTACAGCTCTGCGGATCCAGAGAAAGTAAGACGCGTGAAACAGATTTTCATTGACCTTGGTTTGCCGAACCATTATTCTACATATGAAGAAGAAACACATAATCTACTAAAAGTACATATACAGCAGATATCATGCGGGCTTCCACATAGTCTTTTCTTGACTTTATTACGGAAGCTTTTTCACAGAATGTCATAAAATAATTGTATATGTATATTGAAGAAAGAAACTGATATTAATATATTCTTTATGCATCAATATTATCGTTAAATTTAAAATACAGATAAGATAAAACGAAAGGTATTCTGCCGATGTTCAAGAGTACTGAAATGTTGTTTTTTTGTGAAAAATATCAAAATATCTCTTATAAAGGTTTATGTTCAGAAAAATATTTCACTTTAGAAAAGTCAATAAAAAAATGTTTTAACATTTAATAATATCACTTCTAAAGTTATTTATAATATGATTATGTTTTATAAAAAAAAGGTAAATATTAATTTCAATTATAAAGACAAATTACAATGTCAACAATATTTGTAAGAATCCTTTAATAATTAAACGCAATGTATATAAATGTTATATACACACGGTAGCATGCAAGTAAGGCTGTAATGTATATTTTCTTTTTCATTTCTAAATAAATAAACATGCATTTTGACGATAAATCTGATATTAATTATGCAATAATATTAAATGTTCCTCGTTCTGTTTATACGGATTTGTCTAATAAAAAAACAACGAAATCACAATTTGTTATTTAAATTAAAATTTTTCGATATTATGCCAATTATATTGATTACTAAAGTGTAGATTGTTTCGTTGATCATAAAAAGGCCATACATATGTATTGTTATTCAATGTATCGAGTAGGTATATATACTAAGCAGAAAACAGATCTATCTTTAATATTATTTTCGTGTCTTGTTTTCCATCTTATTCTCTAAAGGTATTAACAAAAAATAAATAACACAATTAAAGGTCATAGGTGTCAGCGCGGAAGACGGTGTGCAAATCAACAAAGTTGTTGCTCCTATGGCCCTTAATTGTGTTATTTATTGTTTATTATTCTAGAAGTCCTTTATTTATTCTTATTATTGGTATTAACAAAATTTAATAAAATACAAAGTGCTTCATACAAAAGGTATAAAAAATTTATATGAAATTTTTATTTCATCATCTTCTTGGTTTGTAATTCATTAGAATTTTATTTATGACGTGACTTAATCGTCATAATTGTTGCTTATCATTTGTTATACCTTGTCAAACTATAAATGTTTGTTAAAACCTTAGAACGTACAATTGTAAAAAACAAATGGCTGATTCTCGAACGATACGAATAACAAGCAAGGACGAAAGTCAGCAATTAATGGCAGTGTGGCCGGACGTTATTCGTGATATCACAGAAGCGATTGAAAGCGATTTTAACATGCCAGATGTTGCAAAATGGATGGAAAAAGTAAGTAATTATTGATTAAAAGCTAAATAATAGCTAAGTAGGATGTAACAAATGCAGTGGCGGATTTAGGCAGAGGTCTACGAGGCCTATAGAGGCCTCTATAGGTGCCGGCACCATCCTTCTAGGGACCAAAATTAAATGACCTTTTCTTTTTCCACACCAAGGTCTGAACTGGTGTACACTGATGCAGTAAGTTAGAATGATATAGGTATAGTTTGTTTTTCACTCTAACATATATATTGTACTAGTTCAGAACTAGTACAGAATTTTTCGGGTGGGGGGGGGGAATCGGAAGGTTAATTTTATGTTTGTGCAGGACTGCCAGTTGTGACGCATTTTTGCCAATATGGTACCTTGAAGTAGTGTTTTGGTGCTCAAAAATAAAATCTTGATGTTTTAGTGAAAAAGTGATACCATTTTTTGTGGTTTATCTGAAAGAGGCGCCAAGTGTCTTAAAGGGGCGCCAAGTAGTACAGAGCCTAGGGTGAAAAAATGTGTAAATCCGCCACTGAATAGATGATGGGATCGAAACTTATTTGATAGATTGATCGATTCATGTTAGAATAAATTCCTTCAGCATGATTATAAAAAATACAATATAATGCAATGTCAAAATTAACGATCATGAATATACAAATTTTAAGTATAAGAACTTACTCTTTCTATTTCTTTTTCTGAAATAGTGTATAAATTTAGAAAAATAAAACGTCATCGATGTTTAAAAATATCTTAAACCTTCATGGTCACGTTAGGTCAAACTGACTCGAGCATTTTGTGAAAAATTTAATTTTAGCACTAAAAAAGATCGTAAACATGTACTCGAATTTAGCGTGAAAGACGATGTAGATGTAACTTTCAAATTCTAATACATATCCACGATTTTTTTTTAGTGTTTAGAATTAAATTTTTCACAAAAACGCCACTGTTCACTTTCTTAAAAGATGAAATTACATACTGTTTTTTTTTTAAATCATTGCAACTAATACTGTCGATTTGGTAACACTTTAAAGATGGGTCGGTTCATTTTAACCCAGAGTAACCATCGTGTGGCATTTTAGAAGTGTGACCATGAAGGGTTAAGGAAAAGTGTCTAAATAGAATCAGTTTCAGATTTTGTAAAAATCTATAAATAAGATAATAAAAAAGATCAAGTATTTCAATAATTCAAAAACTTTATATAATAATAAGGCGAGACACTAAACATTAGAATTGAACGAATATGTAGATTGATGTTTCTTTATACAGGTACTACAGTACAATGTTGCAGGAGGGAAGAAACAACGCGGTTTAGGGCTAGTTTATGCTTACAAGTTACTAATACCAAGTGATCAACTGACAGAAGAAAATATTCGTCTAGCCCGGATTTTAGCATGGTGTGTGGAATTGGTACGTAATTCTATTCTTTTCTTGATATCGATATTTTTCATGAAATTTAAACGAATCAAATGTAAGATATACCTAAGATTTTAATTATAATACCTTCAAATCAAAGAGAAAATATACCTACTCTATAATGATCATTTTAATTATTAAGTATGATCATGAATTAAATGGTGACATTTACCTATACAGATGCAAGCTTATATGCTCATGATGGATGATATTGAAGATCAATCGTTATTTCGCCGAGGCCAACCATGTTGGTACCGATACAATGATCTCGGTTTAGCAGCAGTCAACGACACTTATATGTTAGAGGGCTCCATATTTTATTTAATTCGAAAATATTTTAAAGGAAAAGATTGTTATGCTGATCTACTAGAAACATTCCAGGATGTGAGTGAAGATATATTTTCTTTTTTTTTCTGATCATATATCCATTATCTAAATTCTTCCCTTTTCCTTTTCAATCGAGCAATTATATATGAAAGTATATTTCGACAGATCACAATGAAGACGGCAATTGGCCAAAGTTTAGATTTGCTCTCTACTCATTTTGATAAAAAGCCAAATCTGGATTTGTTTACGATGAATCGATATAATTCCATTATCAAATCCAAAACAGCGTATTATTCATTTGTTTTCCCAGTAATTGCAGCAATGCATTTAGTAAGTGTACCGTAATTATATATATATTATACATGAAAATTGATTTGCTTGATAATAATTGATAAATAATGATGTTACTTGTTACAGGCTGGAATAAAAGATCAAGAGATGTTCAGGGAAGCAACAAACATCTTAATAGAAACAGGATGTTTGTTTCAAGTTCAAGACGATTATTTGGATTGTTATGGAGACTTTGAAGTCTGTGGCAAAGATGATACTGATATCCAGCAAGGGAAATGTACGTGGTTTGTTGTTGAAGCGCTTCAACGCGTTACTCCACAGCAGCGTAAAATATTAGAAGTGAGTATCGTTTGTTAAATGCGTCGCTTCATCGAATGCTGTTATATTAATTGTTTCTTTTTTTATTACATAGGATTGTTACGGTGATTTGGATCGAGACAAGGTACGACGCGTGAAACAACTATTCAATGAATTAAATCTGCTGGACGCTTATTTCGCGTACAAAGAAGAAAGATACAATCTAATAAATGTACATATAAAGCAGATGTCGTCCGGACTTCCTCATAGTCTCTTCTTATATTCATTAAGAAACATTCATCACAGAATGTCATGAAATAATCGTGTATATTGAAGAAATTAATATTTTATCGTGCATTAAAATGTAATACTTTATGCATTAATATTTTATTGTTAAAGTAGAATAAGATGAAATAAGAAATTCTGCTAATATTCTGAAAGTATTGAAATGTTGTTTCTTTTTATAAAAAATATCAAAGCATCTTTGGTAAAGTTTTATGTACAGGAAAATATTTCACTTAAAAAAGTTAATAAAAAAATTTTTTAATATTTGATATCTATTATTATTTCTTAAATTATTCATAATCGATTTCCTTTTATTAAAATATTATGAATGAAGATATTAATTTTAATTATATTATAAGAACAAATTACAATGTATAAACATTTATAAATATCTTTTATATAATTAAACGTAATATTATATATAGGGTTAGCCATTTTAATCTATCATCGTAAATATTTCCGTTCTCTTTCATTTTTAAAGGAAATGTTTCAAACAAAAGTTGTATGGTTTCAAGGGGGCCATAAAATGGTACCATTAGTTTAACCTTGGATAGTCGCTTAAAGGTCACATGAAAGTCAGCTTCAATTTTTTAAATTAAACCCATTATTTTTCATTACATGTTCTTGTAGCTTACCTCGAGTTTTTTAAAACACTATAATAAAATATTTTTTCATTAAGTATTTTTCAAGTTATAAGGCTCGAAAGTTACAGTACAGCTGGCATTAGCATTACGTAAGTTGTCTGATCAACGACTAAAACCTCTTGAATGTTGTTCAGGATTATGTCCTGGATAACATTTGTCAAGAATGAGACCATTGATGATTATACCTCTTATTTTCATTTTTACGTAAAAATGAATATAATTTTTAGTGCAAAAATGGAATGCGTAATGCACTTGCGTAATATTAATGCCGGCTGTACTACAACTTTCGCTTATAACTCGAAGCCTTATAACTCGAAAAATACTTAATGAAAAAATATTTTATTATAGTGTTTTGAAAAACTCTCGAGGTAAGCTACAAGAATATGTAATGAAAAATAGTGGGTTTAATTTAAGAAATTGAAGCTGACCCTCTCATGTGACCTTTAAGCGACTATCCAAGGTTAAATTGGTTATTTGGGACCTAATGGTACCATTTTATGGCCCCCTTGAAACCTTATGGTTTTATGATCATCAAATCTAACTTCTGTAATTAAACAATTCAATATATTTCGTATTTTTTCTATTAGTACAATCTTATTCTGTCACTACATGAAAAATTTGTTGCCAAATATTTACTTATTAAATAATAAACAAGGTTTAAAGGCTCATCTCAATGAAAATTGAAGATATCCAAATTAAAAAATTTTTTTTACAACGACTACAGACATGATTTAATATTGAATTTTCCATTAAATAGTTTTCCATCCAAGAACAATAAATTCATGGTGGAACCAATAAATAGCATTTATTAGTTTAGCAGAAAAGTCGCTATGTCATATTAAGCGCCTATCTCATAATAGAGGGCTTTCCTCTATAACATATATATATAATATTTTATAATATACATATATAATAATACATGTAGGTACGTGATAGTATGCAAATAAGGCTTCTTTAAGTATATTTTTTTTATTTCTGAATAAACAGATATAGGCTACGTTTACACCGTGCGCATAGTCCGCGACCTATACGATAGATGTCTTTGTTTAATATACAGGATAAACAAAGAAATCTATTGTATAGGCCGCGGCCTAAATGCACGGTGTAAACGTAGCCATACATTTTAATAACCTAATATTAAAATTGTATAATAAACTGTATATGCTGCAGTCTCTCTCTGTTTATACTGACTTTTTTAAATAAAAAAACATTATACAAAAAAACATCATACAAAATATGACAATCTATTATTTAAATTAAAAAGATTTTTTGACATTTACATATAACAATCATATGTGTAAATCGCTTCGTTGATCATAAAAAGAACATACATATGTATCGCTATTCAAGGATATACATATATGTATAAGCAAAGAACAGTTCTCTTCTCGCATCTTCCCTTCCACTTTATACTTTGAATGATCTTAGAACGAAGTAATAAGATATAAAGTGTTTAATACAAAAGACATCGAAATATAAATTAATTGAAGGAAATTTTTATTTCATCATTTTTTTGCTTGTAATTTATTATAATTTTATTCGTGACGTAATGGAATCGTTATTTGTCATTCTTAATGTTTAGAACGTTTTATTATAATGGATCAACTCAAATGGATATGGGTAACCATCAGCGAGGAGGAAAGTCAACCGATGATGGCAATGTGGTCGGACATTGTTAATGATATCACGGAAGAAATTGAGAATTCTAACTTTCCAGATGTTGCTAAATGGATGGAAAAAGTAAATCATCATTGATTAAAATATTGTATAAATATTATGGTCAAACAAAAAAATATTATAAATATTATAGTCAATGCGGGATGTGTGTGTGTGTTATAGTGTGTGAGATACGTTAAAATTTATTCAAGGATTGATCGATTCAGTTTAGGATAAATTCCTTTAGGGTAATTATGTGTAGAAGTAATTCAAAATAATGCAATAATTTCATAATCGTAAATATAAAATTTTAATAAAAATTCTCTCTCTCTCTTTCTCTTTTTCTTTGTCTCGAATAGTATGAATTTGTAAAAATAAATCATCAAAATTTAACGATAAACGCCTCAATTAAACTTAAAGAAAAGCGTCTAAATAAATACATTTGTGAAACTAGCATATCATATATCAGCATCGCATAAAATGACACCAGTTCTGCTCACAACCACAATAGTTTTACAGTTCTATATCGGATTTATCAATAGTTCTATCGAATTACGTCCAGAAACAACGTTTTAAAAAATGAGATGCTAACTTCCCGTCTTACCATCTAGCATCTCACTGGATTTCGAACGTATGAGGTGTAAAGTACAAGAATCCAAAGAGTTCTATCGTTAAAACTTAATACATCAATAGTTCTGGCTATAAAACCAAAGAAATTGACCGAAAACGGTACATAAGAGCAGTACAGGTGATATGCTGGCCGATTTGTAAGAGATCTGACTGTTTCATCGCAGGTATAATGTAATTCTGACATCGTTTGAGTGCTTTCTAAAAAGTTCTGGCGATAAACATTGCTAGAAATTTTTTAAACAATTTTTATAGCCCGAAAACGGTACGAATGTTGGTACGTACAGGTGATATGCTGGCCGATTCGTAAGAGTTCTGATTATTTTATTACAGTTTCAATGTAGTTCTACCAATATGTACCGTTTTCGGGCTATAAAAATTGTTTAAAAATTAGCAATGTTTATCTTAGGAATCTGGAATGAATCGTACACGACGATTTATATCACAATGAAAAGATCTTGCCTTATCCTTATAAGAAACTTTTAAAAAATAGTTTCTTTACAGGATCATCTAAGAATATGGTATTAATTATGTATGATTCTGCAGTATTTCATGAAAGATCATTTATCAGTCTTAAAAAAAGTAAAAAACATATAGTTACGAAATAATTTATCTTTCAAGTCGGTGCAGGAATCTGGCATGAATCGGACACGATGATTTATATCGCAAAGAAAAGATTTTAATTCCTTAATTTAATCTAATAAGATACTCTTAAGAAATAATTTCTTTACATGATCGCTCCAAAGTAATAAAGGTATCATCCTAGTAAATGAAATAGAATTATTGAATGAATAGAATCTGGATTGATTATATGAAATGAAAAAGAATGAAGAAAAATTAAAAAATTTGTTAGAATACTGAAGATGACTGAATAAAAGCTCGAAACGTATATTACCATTGTCTTAATGAAATGATAAATTATAATTTCGCTATATAATAATAAATGTGCATTTTAACGATAAATCTAATATTAATTATGCATTAATACTAAATGTTCCTCGTTCTGTTTATACGGATTTGTCGGATAAAAAAACAACGAAACGACAATTTGTTATTTAAATTAAAATTTTTCGATATTATGCCAATAATATTGATTATTAATGTGTAGATTGTTTCGTTGATCATAAAAAGACCATACATATGTATTGTTATTCAATGTATCTGGTAAGTATATATAACTAAGCAGAAAACAGATCTATCTTTAGTATTATTTTCGTGTCTTGTTTTCCATTTTACTCTCTAAAGGTATTAACAAAAAATAAACAACACAATTAAAGGCCATAGGTGTCAGCGCGGAAGACGGTGCGCAAATCAACTAAGTTGTTGCTCCTATGGCCCTTAATTGTGTTATTTATTGTTTATTATTCTGGAAGTCCTTTATTTATTCTTATTATTGGTATTAACAAAATTTAATAAAATACAAAGTGCTTCATACAAAAGGTATAAAAAATTTATATGAAATTTTTATTTCATCATCTTCTTGGTTTGTAATTCATTACAATTTTATTTATGACGTGACTTAATCGTCATGATTGTTGCTTATCATTTGTTATACCTTGTCAAACTAATGTTTGTTAAAACCTTAGAACGTACAATTGTAAAAAACAAATGGCTCATTCTCGAACGATACGAATAACAAGCAAGGACGAAAGTCAGCAATTAATGGCAGTGTGGCCGGACGTTATTCGTGATATCACAGAAGCGATTGAAAATTTTAACATGCCAGATGTTGCAAAATGGATGGAAAAAGTAATTATTGATTAAAAGCTAAATAATAGCCAAGTAGGATGTAACAATAGTGATATAATCAAAATTTAATTGATCGATTCATGTTAGAATAAATTCCTTCAGCATAATTATAAAAATACAATATAATGCAATGTCAAATAATAATCATGAATATAAAAATTTTAAGTAAGAATTTACTCTTTCTTTTTCTCAAATAATGTATAAATTTAAAAAAATAAAACATCATCGGAGTTTAAAAATATGTTAAGAAAAAGTGTCTAAATAAATAGAATCAGTTTCAGATTTTGTAAAAAAATAAAAAAGATCAAGTATTTCAATAATTCAAAAACTTTATATAGTAATAAGGCGAGATACTAAACATTAGAATTGAACGAATATT